CCCAGGACACATCCCTGCTCTCCCAGGACAGTTCCCTGCTCTCCCACTGGGCTGTGCATTCCCAGGACACCTCCCTGCTCATCCAGGCGCTGGACCCGAAGGAAAGACGAGGAAAAAAAAAAAAACCTGGAGAAGGGAGAGAGGCCCGTGCCGGGGTGTGAGGGGGGAACGAGCAAAGTACCGAAGTTCAAGCACCAGAAGGACAAAAAAAAACCCCCAAAAACTACAGAAAAAAAAAAAAAACAAACCCCAAATTCCCGAGGGGGAAGGGAAGGGGCCGCGGGACCCTTCTGGTTGTTCCCTGGTGGTCGCTGGAATGGTGGGAATGCTGGGAATGGTGGGAATGGCAGGGGGGGGCTCACTGAGGTAGCGGCACCAGCACTTCCACGTAGTTGAGCGGGAAGAAGCCGGAGTGGCCGTGGATCATCCCCTCGTACCAGTTCTCGTCGATCTGGTTGGTCAGGGTGATGATGTCGCCCTCCTTGAAGCCCAGCTCGCCGTCGTTCTCCGGCTCAAAGTCGTACAGGGCTTTGCAGCAGGGCTGGTCCAGGGGGGCTGCGGGCACAGGGGTGGGCACAGGGGTCAGCACGACCCCCAAACCCTCCTCTCTGGTGTCCAAAACTTTGAAATGTGTTGGATTTCCCAGCCTGTCCCAATGGGCAGCTCTGTTATTCTTTGGATATCCCGGGTTTGAGCTCTTGCTTTGATGGAAAACCCCAATTCCAGCCTTGTTTTAGGGGCTGTGGGCACCGGGGGGGCACAGGGGTCAGCAGGACCCCCAAACCCTCCTCTCTGGTGTCCAAAAATGTGTTGGATTTCCCAGTGTGGAGGTTGTTGTAACGAGGGCGGCTTTGTTATTAAGCGCTGGGATATCCCAGCTTTGAGCTCCTGCTTGGATGGAAAACTCCCAGTTTCAGCCTTGTTGTAGGGGCTGTGGGCACAGGGGGGGCACAGGGGTCAGCAGGACCCCCAAACCCTCCTCTTTGGCATTTTAAACAAGTAGGATTTCCCAGCGTGTCCCAATAGAACGAGGGCGGCTTTGTTACTAAGGCATCCTTTGGATATCCCAGGTTTTAGCTCCTGCTTGGATGGAAAACTCCAATTCCAGCCTTGTTTTAGGGGCTGAGGGCACAGGGGGGGCACAGGGGTCAGCAGGACCCCCAAACCCTCCTCTTTGGTGTCCAAAACTTTGAAATGTGTTGGATTTCCCAGCATGTCCCAACTGAGGTTGTTGTAACGAGGGCAGGTTTGTTATCAAGGCATCCTTTGGATATCCTGGGTTTTAGCTCTTGCTTTGATGGAAAACCACAAGGGACAGGTTGGATGAGACTTGGAGCAACCTGGTCTGGTGGAAGGGGGGTGGAACTGGGTGGTCTTGAAGCTCCCTTCAACTCAAATCATTCCATGACTCCATGTTCCACAGCCAGGAATGACCCAGCTTGGGGCACCAAAAGCAGCAGCCAAGCAGATGGATGGTTTGGAGACAACTTCCCAAATCCCCAAATCCCCACATCCCTGCTCCAGGCTCCTCCTGCTCCACCACCACGAGCCTTTCCCACCACCGCAGCTCCAAGCTGGGATCCCAAAGGGCCCCGAGATCCCAAAGGGATCCCAAAGCAGAACCCACAAACTCCCCGTGCTGAGGCTCTGCCTGCTCCCTCCAGCCTTCCCAGGGAAAAACCCAGGCTGGGTGCTTGGAAAAACCCTTGAGAGGTCTGATCCCTCCTGGAAAAGCATCGGGATGTGCCCGTGTGACGGGAGCTGCTCCGGCCCCTCCGGGTGAGCCGGTTTTGGGAGGGAAAATCCCGCTGGAGCGTGGCTGGGTTAGTTTAGGGTTTAAGCCAGGCTTAGGTCAGGCTCAGCACGGAGGGATGAGCAGCTCCAAGCTGGGAAGAGGAGGAGGAGGAGGAGGAGGAAGAGGAGGAAAAGGAGGGATGGGAGAATTCCCACGTCATGCAGCGCAGAGCAGGAAACTCACGGATACTCCTGACGGAGGCCCGGGAAGGTTTGTCCGACCGGAAAGAGGAGGAAGCTGCTTCCAAACAAAAAAGAGACATGCTTAAAACCACGGGAATGGGGACAGGGAAAAGGCAGGGAAGGGGCTGTTAGGAGAAATGGGGGGGGGCACGTGCTGTTAGAGACCCCCCGGGAGGGAGGGAAGGAGGGAAGGAGGGAGGGATGCAGCAGGATGGAAGAGGGGACGGAGGGAGAGATCCTTGGTTTTTCCTGCTTGGCACTGAGTGGGCACTGAGTGGGCACTTCCCAGGCTGGAGAAACCTCTGGAACATCCCCAGAGCCAACACGACAAAGGCCGTCCTGCCCCGAGAGCCGACAGCCCGATCCAGAGGCATTCCCGACGTTTTCCAGAGCCACATCCAGAGCCATCCTTCCCAGGCAAAAGGAGCAGCTCCGGGGGCACGGGGGGGGAGGGCACAGCCCTGGCACAGCCTCACCTGAGACTTTGGGGGTGGGGTTGCAGGAGAAGCCCCCGTTGGACTGGTCGCTCTCTCCGAAGTCGTAGCTCTCCCTGGGCTTGGGCTTGTATTCCCGCTTGGGGCGGGAGGAGGCCTCCCTCATCCTGGGGGAAGGGAAAAAAGGGTGGACAAACTGAAATAAGGGATGGGATGTGATGGGATCCATGTGTTTTTCCTCCTCCTGGCTCCGGTTTTTGTGGAGAAGGATCTGCTCGACTCCCTGTGCCGGAGCCTTTGGAAGGTGGGTCTTCCCACTCTTGGAGGGAAGGGAATTCCAGGCTTTGCCGTGGAATGCTCGGGAATTCTGGCCAGCAGAGGACACTCGTGCTGTAGTTTGGAAGCTCAGGCTTGGCAGGATCCTGCTCCCAGCTCCTCCTCATTCCAAGTGGACACACGGGATCCACTCACGGGATCCACTGGGCAGCGTCTTCCGGGAGGAAGGAGAGGATCCTGCAGAGGGGAGGATGAGGAAGGCCCAGCCCTGGCCCTGCAGGAGGGGATTTAACACCCAGGAACAGATTCCCTGGGAGGGTGGGGAGGGACTGGGATGGAATTCCCAGAGAAGCTGTGGTTGCCCCATCCCTGGAAGTGTCCAAGGCCAGGCTGGAGAAGGGAAGGATCTGGGAAAACCTTAGAGCCCCTTCCAGGGCCTGAAGGGGCTCCAGGAGAGCTGGAGAGGGATTTGGGACAAGGGATGGAGGGACAGGACACAGGGAATGACTTCAAACTGAAAGAGGGGAAATTTAGATGGGATATTGGGAAGGAATTCCTGGCTGGGAGGGTGGGGAGGGGCTGGGATGGAATTCCCAGAGAAGCTGTGGCTGCCCCTGGATCCCTGGGAGTGTCCAAGGCCAGGTTGGAGCACCCTGGGCTAGCGGGAGGTGTCCCATGGCAGGGGTTGGAACTCCACGACCTTCACGGCCCCTTCCAACCGCCCCAATTCCGGGATCCTGTGATTCCCAGGGAGTCTCCTGTGTCCCCAGACAGGCAGAGGGGAGGTTGGGGGTGCCCCTGGGACTCACCTGCGCTTGAGTTTCTCGGCCAGCTCGTCCAGGATCTGCACGGCCTGGCGGTGATAGTCCAGCTGGGCGTCCACCAGCGCCGAGAGCTGGCTCACCTGCTCGATCTGCGGGAACACCGGGGGGGAACGGCTCTGACCCCTGGCACAGGAGGCACAGGACACCCCACACTGCCCCCAGGGCAACTGGAGAGACAGGGCACGAGGAGAACGTTGGGGATTTTGGGCACTGGAGGTGAGGAACCGGTTGAGGCTCGGCAGGATTTGGGACATTCTGGCCACAGCAGGGCTTGGGACGCTCCTGTCACTGCAGGATTTGGGACAATCCTGTCACTGCAGCATTTGGGATGCTCCTGCCACTGCAGGATTTGAGACACTCCTGTCACTGCAGGGCTTGCCTGCTGTGAAATCCTGCCCAAACTCATCCCACCATGGAGAGGAGACTCCATCCACTGAGATTCCTCCTTGGGAATCAGAACTGATCCCTCCATGGAAAGGAGACTCCCTCTGAGATTCCTCTTTGGGAATGAGAACTGACTCCCTCCACTGAGGTTTCTCTTTGGGAATTAGAATTGATCCCTCCACTGAAGTTCCTCCTTGGGAATCAGACCTGATCCCTCCACCCAGAGCAGACCTGTGTGGCAGAAGCCCCAGCCTCTCCTCTGCTGCTCCAGGAGCTGGATCAGGAGCAGGGGCTCCCCAAAGGCCGGAGCAGCCCCGTGCTGGTCACTCAGCTCCGGGTTCGCATGGAGCCAAAACCCCCCAGGAGCACCAAGGAGCGTCCAACTGGGGCCATCCCGGCGGGATCCCACCCCGGGAACACGGAATCCCGCTCACATCAGTCTCCAGCAGGTTGTGCATGCTGGTCTCTGCCACCTCCTTGGACTCCTCGAACTTCTCCATGGCCTGTCGGAGCTCCTCGTCCGGGATCTTCCCCTGGCGCTTCTTCTTGTAGTCGAAGTCCAGGCGCCGCCCTTCCAGCTTCTTCAGGTGGTGCTGGGGATGGGATGGGATGAGCAGGGAAGCAGGAGGAGCTGGGAGCAGCCAGGCTCTCCTGGGAGCAGCTCCAGCTGAGCTCCTTCACCTCCAAAACCTGATCCTGGAGCATCCACTCCCAGCGCTCCCACCTCCGCTCCAGAGGGCGATGGGGGAGTGATTCCAGCCCCTTCCCACTGAGGAGCAGCCCCACATTTGGGAAGGTGAAGAACTGTCCTGCTGGGGATGGGATGGGATGAGCAGGGAAGCAGGAGGAGCTGGGAGCAGCCAGGCTCTCCTGGGAGCAGCTCCAGCTGAACTCCTTTGCCTCCAAACTCCGATCCCGGAGCGCCCGCTCCCGGTGTTCCCATGGAATGGGGGAATGATTCCAGCCCCTTCCCACTGAGGGAAACACCCCAGTCTGTGCCCCACATTTGGGAAGGTGAAGAACTGTCCTGCTGGGGATGGGATGGATGAGTAGGGAAGCAGCAGGAGCTGGGAGCAGCCAGGTTCTCCTGGGAGCAGCTCAGCTCCAGGCTGAGCTCCTTCACCTCCAAACCCTGATCCCGGAGCGCCCATTCCTGGTGCTCCCACCTCCGCTCCAGGGGGTGATGAGGGAATGATTCCAGCCCCTTCCCACTGAGGGAAACACTGTAGGAGCAGCCCCACATTTGGGAAGGTCCCAGAGCTGTCCTGCTGCTTCCAGCTCCTCAGGAGCTCCAGGGATCTCTGGAGATCAGGAATGTGGGCTCTGGGCGTTGCATTCCCGGGCTCTCGGGGCAGGGATGTTTTATCCTCATGGAATTGGGGGATGGAGGAGCACTGAGGCAGCAGTTGGGGGTTATGTTACTTTGGCACCACTGTGAGTGAAAATTCACTCGAGATAGCTGCCTTGGGAATGAGGGGTTGGGATAGATCCCATTCCAGAGCCTGGCTGTGCTTTGCATGGACCTGCACTCTGGAGTTCTGTGTCTCCCAGTGAGGCACCAAAGGGCTTTCCCGGGATGCTGAGGCCTGGAGGGGAGGATTGCTCAGGGCTTGAAGCCCAAACTGGGAGCTCCCAGCACAAGGAACCGGATTCAGCAAGGCCAGAAGGTGTTCTGGGATGTTTTGGGAACCATTCCAAGCTGCATCCAGCCTGCTCAGGAGCAGCAGGAGGGAGAAAACACCCAGCACAGGGAATTCCTGCCAGCCCTTGGATCCCACCTTGGAAACCAGAGAGAGGAGGAGGAGGAGGGGGAAAAATGCCCCCCTGGAGGTGGGATTTACCTGGATCTCCTTCAGGTCTTTGTCACAGAGGTTCTGCAGGGGATCAATAAAGTTCTGTTTGACTTCAATGTCCAGGGA